GCATGTTCTTCCTTATTCCTATAGTAAATGAGGATACCATCAATAAAGACGATAACGAACAAGTCCAAGTACTGCTTGAACACTTTGTTCATCCAATCCATGAAAGTTGCGGGAGCATTGGTTAGTCCAAATGACATAACTACAAATTCGTAATGACCATACCAAGTTCTGAAGGCTATCTTAGAAATGTCACTATCTATGACTCTAAGCTGATGATAACCTGATCTGAGGTCTATCTTTGAGAAATGACTAGCACCCTAAAATTGGTCAAACAAGTCATCAATCCTGGGGATGGGATACTTATTCTTGATTATGACTTTGTTCAACTGCCTATAGTCAATGCACATTCTGAGAGAACCATCTTTCTTCTTTACGAACAACACTGGTGCACCCTATGGTTAAATACTAGGTCTGATGAAACCCTTATCTAGAAGGTCTTTCAACTGCTCTTTCAATTCCTTAAGCTCAGCTGGATCCATTCTGTAAAGAGGAATAGAGATAGGCTGGGTATCTGGAAGGAGATCAATTCCAAAGTCGATTTCCCTTTCCGGAGGAACTCCGGGAAGATCATCTGGAAATACTTCTGGAAACTCACTGACTATAGGAACTGACTTAAGATTGGGGATTCGGAACTAGAATCCTTAACCCGAACTAGATGATAGAGATAACCCTTAGAGATCATCTTTCTAGCCTTAATGTAAGAAATGAATCGACCCATAGACGCTAATCTACTACCCTTCCATTCTAAGATTGGTTCATCTAGAAACTGAAAACGAACAATCCTAGTTCTACAATCGACTGAGGCATAACAGGAATGTAACCAATCCATGCCTAGAATGACATCGAAGTCTACCATTTCTAACTCTACAAGATTTGCTGAGGTGACTTTCTGGGAAACTATGACGGGGCAATTTCTGTATACCCGTCTAGCTATAACTGGGTCACCGACTGGAGTAGAGACTGAGAAGGGTTCTGAAAGGGTTTCTGGTTTAACACTGCATTGGGCTGCTATGTAAAGAGTTACAAAAGACAAAGTAGCCCCTGAATCTAACAATGCATAAACACCAAGATCAAAGACTCGTAACGTACCAATGACTATATCAGGAGAATCTTCCTGATCTTGACGAGCCTGAAGAGCATAGAGCCTATTTTGGCGCTGGCTGCCACCTGTACCAGATGAGTTACCCTGCTGAGTCGGGCGACCTACTGGTGCTGCTGAAGTTGTAGACTGAGCTCTACCATTATTTCCTCCTTGACCCCGTCTAGAAGGACAATCCTTTAATCTATGACCAGACTGACCACACCCAAAACATCTTTCCTTACCTGCAAGGCACTTGCCCGGATGGTTCTTACTACATTTCGGGCAAGTTGGGTAAGTTTTGGTGCCTGAAACACTACCTTGAGACTTAGAGCCTGACGCCCTACCTTTCTGATCATTACGGAACATGGGGGATGGAACACTAGCTGATGAAGGTGCTGGAGTCAAAAATTTCTGCTGACCTTGCGAGCGATTTCCACCACCCGAATTCTGTTGGAAATACTCGTAGTTGCCTGTTCTTGCTTTCTTAGCCTCATTAGCATATTCCATAAGCTTATCACCCTTTACCTGTTGAGCATGAGTCATGAGCCTAGAGATGTTCATGTCTCCCAACAACATAGCATTCCTGCACTCTGTTTTCACTAAGTCTGACACTCCATACAGAAACTTATTCATCTGAGCCCTGGAATCAGCAACCATGTGAGGAACATACCTGGAGAGTTGGTTAAACTTGTGCCCATACTCTTGGACAGTCATGTTACCCTGCCTTAAGTTCATAAATTCCTGGGCCCTTGCTTCTCTCAACTCTATGGGGAAAAATCTGTCCGGAAAGGTTTCGCTGAAACAATCCCAAGTAAGAGGAGCTGCATCTGTACCCCTGTTCTCCTTCCACTGAGTATACCAGATATGAGCTACATCTTTCAGTTGGTAAGATGCTAACTTAACCCGATCATTCTCAGTGACCTGCATCATCTCAAAAATCTTCTTGATCTCATCCCAAAAATTCTGGGGATCTTCACCAGTCTGCGATCCTGAGAACTCAGGCGGATTCATCCTAACAAAGTCACAGACCCTTGCTGCTGCTGATTCACCATTTGCATTCACAGGAGCTTGAACCCGCTGATTGTTCTGGTTAGCGACACTCTGAGCCAACATCTAAATGGCGTTCTTGAACTCTTTATTCGACACTTCTTGATCAGGGACAGGAGGAGTTGCGTTTGCGGTCTTGGAACTCACATTCCTAGCGTTAGCTCTACGAGGAGGCATGATCACTGAAATGTAGAACGTCGAGTTAAAATGGAATTTAGATCATACCTTACGCATGATAAGAGTAATAAGAAGATGAAGATTTCCTAAAAACACTTTGTAGCCTCCCCCTCATTAGATGTGGTGCGCACTACACATCTATGAAAAGGACTCTACCTCATGCGGCTTTACAGACATCCTAGGATACTTAAACCTAAGGCTTTAATACCAAGTTTGTCACGCCCTGAGCTACCCCCGAGACGCGGACATGGGACCTAGGACCACAAGTGATCCCAAGCTACCCTGCTGGCATGATCATGAGCATACTAAATATAATCTGAATAATAGAAACTGTGCGGAATCTAAATCATAAATAAGATGAAAAGATGGGGAATACCCATATACTATAACTGAGATAAATGAAAACTGACGAGTTTAATACAAGGAAGATATTAACTCAATACTAAGCTGAATCTATCTATGTCTGAAATAAGACTCTAAACTGACTAGAAATGTTGGGACATGCCCCAACTAGGTCTAGTAAAATTGAAACTAAAGACTAAAAGCAATAAAGATAAACATGTCACTAGTCCTCGAAGAATGAGGACTCACCACTGATGTTGCTGAACTAAAGATCGAGAATCAATCTAAGCGTGATCTGCATGCTGAGAACCTGAACCTACATCATGAGAAGATGTAGCGCACGTATGCGTCAGTACTTGAAAGGTACTAAGCATGCAAGATAGAGTAAAACTGAAAGAACATATAACTGAACAAAGCAATAAAGCAATGAAATAATCTGAACATGATATAGATACTGAATACTGAGCTAACTGAATGCAATGACCAATTTATAACATGCTGACTGAATACTGAATGAACTGTAAATGTGGTCAATGCAATAGAGTCTGACTGAACTGTGGGAGCTACTAATAACCGACATAAAACCACATGAGCTAAATATGGAGTGCGATGTATACGCCCCATCGAGAGGACCAAATATACCAAGCCAGAGGTATAGAGGCATGCTGGCGTGATCACTAAACTGATGTTGCCCACAGAGGGGACTTACACCTACGTGGCTCGTAGTTCTGGGACTATATGGGTACGCTGAAACCCTAGTCCAACTCGGTATTATGCTACTCCCAATGAATTAAGTAGTTAACTGGTTATGACTGAATTTCTGTAAAATACTGGATAGCTCAAAACTGAACATGCAAAACTGAGAATGCAACAATTAAGCTGATAATGATGCATTAATAACTGAAGCATGTATAACTGAATAACTGAGATATATGACCTAGCATGTGTAATTCAAGAACTAAAGAAATACATAGCTAGGGTTTTGAAATTCATGCAATAAACTGAGAAATAATAGGATAATCTGATTTGGAACATTTAAATAACTAATTCATGATAAT